ACATTAAGGAAATCATAACTACATAAAGCAAAGCGCAACTACATTAAGGAAATCATAACTACATAAAGCAAAGCGCAACTTTATGTAGTTTTGTTTTTCTTAATGTAGTTGCGCTTTTAGATTTATAGTTGCAGTTTGCACTTCAGGGCCACCGTAGGGAAGAATCAATTTAACTTAAGAGTTTAAGGTGCCTCTATTACAGATAATGAATATATAACATCCCAGTGCAGTGTTGTCTTTTTCAAGCATTGACCCGTCACTTGGTAGGTCAAGTGTACGCTAATGTCTGAGACAACATAAGCAGCTAATGAATACCAGCATTCAAGGAGCTATAATCGCACATCAGGACTTCATCATGTTATTGCTTTGTATAAAAAAACATTAGGCAGTGAAACAAGTACATAACCTACATTCTTCCAGTGTCAAAGGAGCCTTTTAGTGACGAGTTCAAACAGAATAGCAGCTTTACTCCTTTGGGCTTTGATTGATTTGCAGCAGGCTGGGTCCTTTCCTGGGTCCTTTCACAGCCACTCAGTATAGCTATCTTTGGCAAACTGCAATGTATATTTTCTTTACAATATACATTCACCAAGACCACATTTGACTTCACACCTTAACAGATACATATGCTGGTGAAGATTCTCAGTCATGCAGGTCATGGTCATTCCATAAACGTTTAAAAACAATCCAATGGACTTTGTTTCCCAAGGTTTGAAGACGTTTCGCTTCCCCTCCAGGAAGACATCTCAAAGATACAACATTGTTTTGTTTTTATATAGATAGTACAAAATATCAAATTATTAACTAATCATCTAATCAACAAAGGTTTTTATCCTAAGAACAATAATAACTGTTTACTATGCTTTTTTTTGCTCTCTGAGAACAAATGGTCTATTTTTAGAACAAAGCGGTGGGAATTATATCTCTTTGGTGAGATATAATTCTCACAACAAAAACACTCAACAGATTAATTGATTTTTAAAATTATCTATGGTTGCAGCCCTAATATAATTGAAAATAAATACAATATGTGAAAATAAAAGATGTTAATAGTCTTTGAATGTTATGAGAATAGAGAAAAAGAGCATTGTTTGTGTCAGACCCATAGCACCATGGCTTATTTTAGGGGTCACAATCCCAATTTACATTATGACTAAAAGTTAAACTTGTCTATTTTACCCATAAAGGAACAATTAATTAGTGAGGAGTTCTTCTTCTTCATGAATGTGCACATTCAATGACTCTGCTCATCAGGATCAATTCTTTCCTGGTCTGGAGTTACACATGAACTTACCACGCAGTGGGAGCTCTGTCCGACGTGTCTCTGCCTCTCTGTGACATTGTGGATTTGGCCCTGGTACCACTCGCGGGCCCGTTCTACAACTTCCAGGCCTGACAGCAGCGAATCCTTTTCCTGCTCCAACTCCTTCATTTGCTTCAGCTGTGTGAGATGGAGTATAAAACAAGGCAGTGTTGTCGGATGAGGAAAGAGAATCACAGAGAAGATGCTGAAACTGCATACTTACAGTGTTTATATACTTTATCACACTAACAGAAAATCAGACCAAATGTTTACTGTTATAAATGCATTAGCAGAATCATTTAAAATTTTACACAGTTAAACCATATTGTGTCTGTTTTTCTCACAATATAACTAGGATCAAGCATTTTCGGTTTCCTTCTATTACTTTTTCACAATAGCTTTCTGGAAAATTGTCCTATTTCCTCAAGACTAAACCATCATAATTCAATGTCCTCTCTTTATGCCCTCCAAAATTGTGAAGTAAACAATAGCCCCGTATCATGAATCTGCCACCTCTGTACTTCCAAGGTTTTCAAGCCTGCAATCCACCCCTTTCTCCTTAAAAAGCAATAATTATTAGGGCTAAACACATTCATTTAGCGTTTACCAGACAACAGGAAAAAATCAGTATCCACGGGAGCATTTGAAACTGCAATTGATCTTCTATAAGATGCATTTAGTCAGCAGGGGTCTTCAACGTTTTTCAGGCAAGGACCCCCAAACCGATGGTGAGACGGAGCGGGGACCCCCTAATTATATATATTGTATAGGGGTGGAACGGTTCACAAAATCCATGGTTTGGTTCGGTTCACGGTTTCGTGGTCACGGTTTTCGGTTTGGTTCGGTATATGTTGATTGTTCCCCCGAAATCCCATAAAAATTAATGAAAAAATCCAAAAAAATTAATGAATTGTAATTATTTTTAATGATCCGCGGAAACCCTGGATCATTTCCGCATGTTTTGCTGCTTTGAATTTAATCATCTCGCGCATGCCCTCTACGATCTCCAAGGAACTCAGAGCGGAGCGGACGGGAGCCACAGCGGAGGCTGTAGGCTTTGCTTTGTGCAGGCGGTCTGGAGCGCAGTGGGGCGCAGACGGAGTATGTGGGATTTCGGGGTTAGTATGACATGTTGGTCATGTTGCTGTTAGCATAAACAAAACGTGTTGCACAATGCTTGCACACTGTTGCACTTTTATCCACAACTTTCTTTCCGCCGTCATCGTAGGTCACTCTAAATGCAAAGTGGTCCCATACAGCAGACCTATAAANTTTTCTGCTACACCCGGCTACGCTGCTTCGCTTCTTCTTGTTTACTACTGGTGGTTGGCTTTGGTCGCAGTACCGCCACCTTCTGCTCTGGAGTGTACATGCTTCGCCTATGAGAAAAAGGAGCAGCGCATGAACCGAACGCAACACACACGAATCGAACCGAGACAGTCGAACCGAACGATTCGGACGGTTTTCATAAACCGATACATCCCTAATATTGTATAAGATTGTGTTATTTCACACTGGTCCTATATTCACTCTATTACAGATGGAGTAATGTAACAAAAGTAATTTCCCCCTCGGATTATAAAAGAATTTCTGATTCGGATTCATCGTTGATGGGACAGGTGTTGTGAATGAAATGGTGCTCAGCTTGAAAGAGCTCCTGTATGTCTCTGAATGTGTGCATTGATGAATGAAAGACGTCTTTGGCCTCCATTTATCTGTTTACTAGAGTGTGTTGAATTCATGTTAAAGACATTTCAATTAGTCGAAAAAATTGCAGGGGAGAATATTTTTAAAGAAGTCTAATCAACCAAAACTTTTGCGACCCCCATGCAGTACCTCCGTGGATCCCCTAGGGGTTTAGACAAATGGCTTCTTCAACGCTAAGCGGCCTTTCAGCCCATGTCATTTAACTGTTGAATATGGACTCTACCTTCAGTTTCAGCAGCATTTTCCACCTAAAAAACTTATTTAACCTTCTTCCCTAAACGCTATGGTAGTCTCACTTTTTCTGTTGCCTTTACGCCTGCATATAACTGTTGACTAGAGGAGGATTTAACCTTCAGGCGTCTGGAAATGACATTGAGGATCGCTCTGAAATCTTGTCTGATTTCTTCATTGTCTGTGTTGTCATTAAAGAGAGAAGTTGGTTTTCGATGTGCTTAAAACACATCTATAGAAGAATTTAACCAACCCATAAGACTATCTTCTGGGTGCCGCTTCTTGTTTATCTGCAACCCTCATTGAGAACCGTTGCCAAGAATAAAGCCAATCACAGATTTGAGTCCGCCAGCAGTTTTTTGGCAGACAAGCTTCCATCTTTTCACCCCGGTACCTACAACACGCTCTTTTGTGCTGGACAGAACAATGGCGCCACATCAATTGTACTAAACTCTCTCCCATCCTGTGCAATGTTTTAGAGAGGAAAAATCAGTCCAACGTCATGGCAACCCCACAGCAACCTGAGAATAGGGAGGACGGTGGGTCCACTTCAACTATGGCCACCCTAGTGTGGGCCTTTTAAAGAGAACGGAGGGGAAATGCACATGTTTGTGTGAGGTTGCAGCAAATCAAGGCTGCATTGAGTTGTGCTGACCAGGCTGTCCATGCAGCATGCTGCTGCTGTCCAGGCCTCATAGCTGGCATTCAGCCACTGGTGGGTCTACTTTCAGTCCTCTCAGAGCTGCTCACTACATTCCAATAACAATCACTCTTTTGCAAAAAAAAAAAAAACACACAACAAAGACGGCCTGACTCTGGGCATAAATAAAACTATGAAACCGCTTTTAGCTCTAAAGGAGTTGTTTATAGAAAAAGAATGAGATGGAGTCGGGGGGCCCCTGAGTTGAATGAAACACGACCCAAACCCAGATCTGCTCTAGGCCACAAGCAGGGAAACAGATGAAGAAGCTCAGGGAAGGGATGAAAGGGTTTGAAAGCAGTTGATGCTCCTGCTGTCATCCAAGTGACTGAGCAAACACAAGCACAGTCAACAAAGCATGAAGAATAACATCCCACCAAACCGCAAACGCTGATTGGCCTCGACGCCACACAAAGCACAGCAGCTCTACACCTGAACTGTACAGCCGGAGTTTCTAAACAAAACTTTTCTAAAAATAAAAAAAGTGTAATCATATTAAACAAATTGCCTTGTTAAATATGTATTTCTAAAAAAATTATAGAATAACTTTGAGCAAAACGTCTCCAGAGTAACTGCAGATAAATTATCTTAAACATCTTGTCCAACAAAAACACTATCATCTTAATATGATCCCAACAAGTTTCTTTATCTACTGTCATAACGCACCAACAAAAATACCGATAAGCTCCACAAAAACAAGCTTAAGATCCATCAACCTTCTCCAAGCACCCCCAACCTACTCACCCAGAGGAAAAACTGCAGAGCCTTGCTGCTATAAAGGCTATTGCTGAGGGGGATGAAGACTGTAGTGTAGGCGGCCCACACAGCAGTCCAGGCTGGTCCAGGCGACCCGAGCGAATCCTCTACTTCTACCAGGCCCCCTGGCCCGACCCGGTTCACTACCATCAGGGCAGTGGCGGGCCAAGAAGGCCTGGGAAGGAGGGGTGGAGGTAAGGGGGAGGGGGTGGAGGGAGAAGAGGGGGGAGTTGATCAGTCAGCCTCTATCTAGACAAAAGTGGCCAAAGGGAGAAGAGAGACGGAGACGGCGACACAAACACAGGAAGAAAGAAAGAGAAGAGGTGAGCAGGAAAGGGTGAGAAATGATGAAGCAAGGGGGGAGCAAAAAGAGAGAGAGGAGGCCTGAGCTCAGCTGGATGGTGGGAGGGGCAGAGTGAGGGGACAGGCAGGGGATAGAGGGATGGGAGGAGAATCCATGGGCCAATAGGAAGCGCTAAAGGCTACACTGGGACCTCTCTTCATTTGCACTCGGTCAACTCTGGTTCATATAAACTAAATATTTTAAAATTTAGTTTCGCACACACATTTTTCTAAATAAAAGAGGAAATTTGAGGCAAACACTTGAATCATTTAGCTTAGAATTAGTTTTAAATAGATGGATATGTTTTCTTTTTATCTAGTAAATATCAAAAGTTGTCCATATTTTCTTAATACTCTTACTTTGGTTAAAAACAATTTCAAAGAAACAGCCCCAACCACTTTGTTCAAAATCCTCAGAAAGCAGAATTTCCCCCTTATCGCCTCAGACCTATGATCTCAGGCAGCTCATCTACTGAAAAAAAACTATTTCTTTCCCCTAATTCATTAATGAATCATCTAGCAGCATCTGATGCACTTTTTAAGTGCATTAATCAGTTTGTGAATAATCTGAGAGGTTTTTTTTTTGGCTTCCAAACTGCTATCTGTGGTTCTTTTACATGTTACAGACTATTAAGATATTTGCCGCTGATCTAAATCAGAGTCTGCAGGCCAAAACACAAAACATCAACATTCTTAATCCAGAACTACCAGACAAATTTATTTTAACATAAAAGAAAACAGATTTTGAATAATTGGCCATATCAAAAATGTCACCATCATATTTTTGTTCCTCTTTAAATAACATAACTTAACACAATCAAACTATGAGATATTTTTCTCCCAGATAGTATGAGCCTGTCTGAGCTATAATGATTGGCTGCTCAAACTACAGAAACAGTGTATTATCTATTTTTAGTGATGTCATTAAATCGGTTTTCAACCATCAAACCTATTTTCTCTACAGGATTTTTAAGAACTCTTTTAATTACAGTGATGAGATTTCATTTAGCAGCACAAAAAATAAAAAAATATAAATATAATTAAGGCAGAAATTATAATGATGACCAAAATTTGAAGAAGCTCTTGTTGCGTTAAATGGTTTGAGGCTAAGTTAGTTTCTCACCACTTACAGATGTGAAAGCAGAGACTTAACAGCAAAATCAGCAAAAATGAGGGTGTGCACCAACCATTCCATAATCCACTCCATTGGTAATGGTATGCCTCCTATGCTCTTCCCGGCTCCGCCCATGTCGCCTGGACCCACCAGTTAATCCTGTAGCTGATTCACTCTGCGATCTTGGCAAACCTGATTTCATCACACCTTGACAAAATGAGAGAAAAAGCAACGTTTAGCACAACACAGAAGCCTTGGACGGTTCTCACTATTTGCTGAATGTAAATGAGGTGACAATAGAAAAAAAACAACTGTCTTCTCATTAACTGTTTTAATTTCTTGATTAATAGTTGATCAACATCACAAAAGTCAAATATAGAATGATTGTGTGAAATTAGTAATAGTTTCTGTCTTCCCAACTTACTAGATGCCCACAAATCACACAAATGACAGTGACCAGGAAATGTTGGGAGTATCATAAAGACAGACAGGAGGGAGAAAAATCTGGATTTATTGAAACATATGATTTATTATAAACCAATTCTGATAAACTAATTATTTAGAGGAATGTGTTAGGCTTCCAAACATTAAAATATTTTCACGAATTGGAGAAACATAACACTTTATCTTAGTGAGGTTATGCTCCTACAATCCCATATGATCAAATAGAAGCATGAAATTGTGCAGAAATTTTGTTTTGTGTTTTCTTCTTGCCACTTTATACCACAAGGGGGAGCTCTAACCCATGAGCTTCAATCAATAGGAGGGGGAGTCTCTTTTACATTTGTGTCCACTAAGGCATAAAAAGAGTTAATTCAATCTTAATTCTAGTTAAATCTATTCACTGAGAAAAGCCCAAGGAAGAAGATAAAGATATGTGAAGCAGCTGCAGCTGAACTCTGAGGTTTGTCTTTACTTCTTCATTTGGTTCAGAACCAAAACCTTCATCTTCTTCTGCAATCAAGCATGTAAAGTTTTCTAACTCATCCACATATTTTTTCTGAGAGGTACTTTATTGCTCTCGGATATAAAGATTTCAATGATGAGCTTCTATGCACTTTTCTCTTTCTAACACTAAAGCGTAGAGAAAAAAATTGAGTTGAATGTTAGGAATTCGGGGAGGATTTTACTGCAGCAGCAAATCACTGAGCTCTGCTCTGTTTGCTGTAATCTGGACTAAATCATCAGGCTTTGGCCACACGCGAGAGATTAGATCACAATCACTGGTGTCTATGGGGCTCAGTCTGTAATTTGGCAATGCATATTTGAGCGAGCAGCACTGTGCAAAGTCTGTTAAGGGATTCATTTGAAGCATTGCAACAAATATTAGAGAGCTATGACATTAATTAGGGGTAATAATTAAGCCCGGTTAGATCAACGTATGTTTACGTCAGAGAGAGATGCAGTAAAAAGATACTAACGGTTGCCTACAGTTGGAACATTTCCCTAAACATAATCTCAGATGCTTAACTCAAAATACAAACACTGGCTTACTAAAACAAGGATGTGTTTATGTCTAACCTAAGCATGCCAAATATATTTCAGAAGAAAAAAATGACAAGATTAGATCAGACAAAGCTGGCTTGTTAAAATGTAATTACACAGATATGCTCAATTAATTACTCAGATATTGGAATAAACTTGTTCTTCCTCATATCAGATCAGTTATCAGCAAGCAGAGTATTCAAAACTCAGAATAAAACTGAGAATTCAAAGTATTTTTAGCCTCAAGCATAGGCAGTTACCTCAATTTTGCAGCTGCATAAAAAATAAATAAAGGTTGAGAAAATATGCTTGCACAGATCCAAATAAATTAAAAACTGGTAAAGTAGGTTATGGTTAAAAAAAGAAAGAAAATTTTAACAGCCAACAAGTCATGATTGGTGCATCCCTTGATGCTTTATATGACAAATAAGACTACTGGAAGAAAATGTTGTGATTTAGAAGCTGCATGTCATTGTAAAATACTTGAAAAAGTTGAACTGAGTGAATAGGGCAAAGTTTGCAATCTTATCATATCAATCCATCTTTCTGAATGAAAACCAACACTGTCCTTTGTAGTAAGGGTTTAAGCTGTAAAAGCCCTGAGGGTTGGACAGAGAGAGTGAGCGGCTATCTATTAATACAGCTCTGGACAGGCCTGAGAGCACAAAGACGAGACGAGCTATGAGAGATATCATGAAGGAAATGGTGTGCAGGTTTGTTAAGGAGATATAAAACCAGAAACAAAGATAAGGATTGAGCAAGAGATGTGGACATTTCTCAGGTTATTTGACCTGCATTTGCAACAAAGGTGTAAAAAAGCCTGGGTGATGGTCAGGCTGCACAGGGGAAACTCCTTAACCTCATCTTTGTTTATAGTCAATCCCCCAGGAGTTGTTGAAAAAAAAAAAAACCAAGAGTATTTCTAACAGAGGGCTGAATAGAAAAATAAACTGATATGCAATATTATGAATCCCATATGTAATCTATTCTTCCACTCTGCAGAATATGTTAGTTCAATCTCTAGCGTTATGCTCTCTGCTTTTTCTCATAGTAGCTTCGCCTCGTCTGTTCCTGTTTGGCTGTGACTCCACCCTGGAGAGAAATATCAGATGGGCTGCTGCCATCAACACCTTTGTTTATAGATGTTGGAGATCGGCCTGTTTTTCAGTGTAGTCCTGTTTCTCTGCCTGTGACTGGCTGGATGTGCCCTCTTCATCCTCTGACATGAGAGTTGGCTCAGAGTTCGTCTGCCTGGCTGGGTGTTTCCTGGAAGGGGCCGCCTTTTACCGCTGCTTTTTGTATCTCTGCTTCTGTCTCCTTGAACCCCAGTCGGCCTTGGAAGATGGCCACTCACACTGAGCCTGGTTCTGCTGGAGGTTTCTTCCTGTTAAAAGAGAGTTTTTCCTCTCCACTGTCACTACAAGCATGCTTAGTGTGAGGGATTGCATCCCAGTCAATGAATGATACAATCAACTGGTTTTCCTTAGATAGAAAACTTTGAATCAATTCGACTGATCTGGTGAACTGTAAAGTGCCTTGAGATGACATGTGTTGTGAATTGGAGCTATATAAAGAAACTAAATTGAATTGAAAAGGAATGTATAAAATAGTTTGCGTACTGTGTGAAATCAAAGATATGAAACAGACAAAATATTAGTGCAGAGTTAGGATATAAGTGTGCGATGGAGTGAACTGTCTATTTACATTGTTAAAGTATTTTTATAACGTTTCTCTAAGGTGTCATGTCTTAAACACAAAGTTAATCATCCACTGAGTTTAGAAGATGAACAAACCTGATTTTTATCCACTTACATGCTTCATGGATCTGTGGAGACTCCAGCGCCAGTGAGTCGATGTTCCTGAGCCGGCTCTGCTGCGGCTGTGTGGGTTTGGGAGCATGGCCCGGGTCGGCGGGGTAACACCCGTCCTCCGGAGCGATGGGAACCCGCTCCAAACTCCGCCCGGACCTCTGGAAGCCCGCGCCGTACCGAGCGGACTCCTCCGGGCGGTTTCGGCTCTGCAGGGAGGACGCCCGCTGGGTGTTCGTCAGGTTGCCCAGCGGACGGACTTTGTTCTCCAGTCGGGGTCCCACGCTGCATGTCTTCTGGGGATACCTCTGACCCTGCTGAGCCTTAAAGTGGGAATTATTCTCAGGGTTCAGCATGGAGTGTCGCAGCCCGGCCACGAAGCGCTCAAAGGTGAGGCAGCCATGCGGAGGGGTGACCCTCCTCAGGCAGCTCAGCACTCCACCGGGAAGCTCCCTAGTATCCGCGCCCTGCCAACGGCTCTCTATCTCCGAGATGTGGACATACCCCCGCCTGTCGTCGTCTAAAATGTCAAAAAGAGTTCTCAGGCTGTGCAGGAAGGCTTTCGGTAAGCCCTCTGTGGTGTACTCCGCCTCCTTAGGTTGCATTTTATTCGTTAAATAGCCGTCCACAGGGACGTGAACCACGTCTCTTCTTGAGCCAACTCTCCCGTAAATCACCGCGGTTCCGTTTAACTCACTCGCTATCAACGCCATGAAGGTATTGATAACTTATACAGGATAACCATTCAATACAATCAAACCAACATATACGAGCTGGCTCACTTTATAAGACTAAACTACATACAAAATAGTAAGCTATCTTTAAACTCAAAGTAACAGTACGGTGTCTTTATCAAGTTATAAAAACAAACTCGGTAAGTTGGAGCCTGCGGCGCTCAACGCTCCACTGCAGCAGCATTCTGATCCATACTTTCCTTTCTCTGCCCGGTACCGCCCTTCAAACTCTTTCTCTCCAGCCTTCTCTGATCAGCCATTGGTCGAGGGGTGCGCGAGCTGAACGTTGATTGGTTAAGATCTGAGACGGGCTTAAGTTTGAGTTCAGCTTTTGTCATTATATTCTGCAGAGACGTTATTCATAAAGCTTCAGTGATATAATATCCCTCCCTTTAATTAGAATAAGCTGCTGTCTAAAAAACGAAAAAAAAACTTTTACTTTAACAAGTTTACATTTATTTTTTATAATAATAATGTTGGATGCATTTTATCAAAAACAACAAAACTAATAACTCAGATTTGTTTTTATTTGTACAATTTCCTTAAGAAAATGCATGGCAGAACAACTGGTATATTTGTATTAAATCGTAAAAAAAAATGATGATGATGATGATGATGATGATGATGATGATAGATAGATAGATAGATAGATAGATAGATAGATAGATAGATAGATAGATAGATAGATAGATAGATAGATAGATAGATAGATAGATANAGATAGATAGATAGATAGATAGATAGATAGATAGATAGATAGATAGATAGATAGATAGATAGATAGATAGATAGATAGATAGAATAGAAAAACATGGCTAGAGCACATCATTATATCAATGATGTTCTTTTTCTGGGTGGGTCATCGAAATAAGTGGTCCTCCTAATTGTCAATCATTCTAACTATATGTTAAGGCTGTCCTACATGCTCAACCCCATTTTCACTTACTGGTGGTGAGTCTGACAAAATGAAAAATTGCAAATCTTCTTTTGGAAAGTAAGCTTGTATGAGCGATGCAAACAGCAACTTCTAAACAGAGCGTGCACGAGGAGAAATGGGCTCGTGCATGCTCTCGCACACATTTAATAGGCGTTCCCTCTAGGCAGCGGGTACAGGGTTGTGCATGTGCCCGTGTCATTTATTTTTTTTAAAGTGGAGAGGGCAAGTCTTTTTAAAACTTTGCAAAAAGCCTCCTCTATGTGTGCCACAAAGCCAAGGTTGCAGAGTCCTGATCTAATAGATAACAACTGTGACCCCGAACGTACCTGCAAATCAAGGGAAATATAGTTATGTCAAGATAAGTGTACTTAATTATTTTTTACAGTTTGTAGCAGGCTTGGACTGGTACTCTGTGGTACCAGGCATTTGCCTGGTGGGTGTGCAAGGACTGGAGGCCCAAACACTTACTCTAAAGCTAAAGCTCCTACCTGTGACAATAAATAACTCAAGGAGGTTCAGAAGTAATACAATGTTAACTACCTACATGATGCATGCAGTATATATAGCCCTTACTTGTCATGCACATCCTTGTAACGGTTGGCATATGGTGTCATTTTCTATTTCTTCAAACTGTAAAATCCTTGCAACAAACTAAATTATGATAAAGCTAAAATGCTTTCTTTAAACAAAACTATGATGTTCCTCTTATATTTAGCAAATTTATGTTTGAATATTTTCCAAAAATATGTTGCGGTGCATGATGGGGTTTTGCATCTAAAGGCTAACGTTTCCCGTCTTACATGCATTGTTGCCAGGTTGGGATGTTTCCCAAACTGGCAGTTTAGGATGCAAGTGTGGACGTTACGCAGCAGCATACACTGTAGAACTGCACTATAGAAGTCTTGGTGATGGTTGGCATGTGATGCTTGAAGATAGATGGGTTAATCCACAATGTGTATTTGTATTGTGTTTCACGTTTGAGACGCACACGTTTCCATAAGTGGGACGGTGTAGTTGGAAAAATGCCAGGGCCGAAAATCGTTCCCATTCCAAGCCTGCTTTGAAATGTATGTTTTCAGTACAGGGGACCAGTTCTCCAGGGGCCCTGGACCTTCTTGGCCCCTGTCTACAACCACCCAAGATTTCCTTTAACTATAATATGTATGGATACAACATAGCCCATCTATTTAATACTAATAGCATCTTGTCTACATATAAGAGCCTTAAAATCACACTAGCAGTACAGCTGAGATGTCTCTGGCTTAATACGGTATATTATTCAATATGAATGTTTTTAGAACACAAAGTAGAGTTTGAAATAATCAAATTATCTGGTCTCATGAATTAAAAGAAGCCAGTTTATGTTGAAAGAATGGATTAATGTGATACATCAGAAAGTGAACCTCTAAATATTCTAACGAATTTCTCAAACTCAAAGAGGATACCGTTCCACTAATGTATGTAAAACAATTTAGGTTTTTCACATACACCTCCTTTTTACAGTGTGTACCTCTTTTCTTTTTCTACCATCTCTAGCCTATCGTATCAAAGACTTGATTACTCTCACTTTGTCCCTGTTTGACTGTTTAATTTTTTTCTTTAATTGTTATAGCATAAGAAACATATGACTATCAGGGTATTTACATTAATTTTAAATATATGTGTGTAATGTTGCTTTCCTTTTATGCTTGGAACTTCCAAGTTAAAAAACAAACTATCCTAAACTTTACTTAAAGCCCAACTTGAAATATAGGAGGTTTCTCATCAGCCCTGGTCTAAAATGAGAAGTTGCCACTCTACAGAATGTGTGCTAAAGATTACATTGGTTGATTTCACAATACCCACTGCTACTTAGTTTCTGTGCTAATGAAAATAATCAGATTACTAAGCACTGCATTTAGAAACTGCCTCTGGTTTTCACAGCTCAAACGTTAAGCTGATTTTAGAAACATTTAAAGAACTAAATTCCCACATTTTTAGAAAAATTGGCTGCAGCTTTATCAGCAATGCTTATATTCTTCAACAAAAGACAGCTGGGGTGTGAGAAAGGAAAAAGACAGGAGTAGTTCATTTTGTCCTTATAACACCCTTAGTTTTATTGGTTTAAAGCAGCGGTGAAACATTTGGTGTTCATTCCAAAATAATGTGATCATAACACTGGAAAAAATCTAAATCTAGATAAGTCTTTTTTTTTTTTTTAAATAAGTGTATTTGTTCTTGGATTGGGGAGGTAAAAGAGAAATTTTGCCAATGGAAAAAGACAATTTACACTTAAAATAAGAAAACACAATTGCATTGTCTAATTTCAAGTGCATATAATCTAATTATATTAGTTTAAGAATAAAAATACTCATTCCATTGACAAACTATATCATTTACCTGCTCAAATTAAGGGTAATTACACTTTATTTAAGAAAATGTTTACTTAATTCTTGATCGTTTTTCCAGTGAACGGATAGTTTGCGCAAATTCACTGCCTATAGGTTGGCTTTAGAATGAATAAAAGAATAATTCATTAATTAATCATTGAATTAAATATTTTTTTAAATATATAAGCAATGTTTGGTAAAATGAAATGAACAACATATAATAAAGATAATAATTAAAATATAAGCTATAACGACTATAGTAATGTGGTGAAACATATAGTATAATAAAACAAATATATATCAGAACTAAAATCCATAATATTTAGTTCCCAAATATATAACAGTATAACTGTTATGCCTGTACAGTCTAAAATAACTATCAAGTAATTCCTCCTATTTATTTTTTATATCTAAAATATTCCCTCTGTATAATAATTATTCAGTGAACCATGTAATTGTAGATATTTAAATGATAAATAATCGGTTAACGGTTTCACCATTTACCATTGGTGTAGATGTTCTCTTTAAGGATATGCATATATTGCTGTTGATCTTTCAGTAAATTAACTATTTAAACCTATGATATGAATAATCCCTATTTGATGGTTACAGAAACACCAGCTTTTTTTGCTTTAAAAAACAGTTGCTGTTAATTTCTGCCAGGGAGACATTTTTTTTTTTCCGCTCACCTGTTTGCTAACCAATTGCAGAGCATTTGATTGTTCAGCAGTAGACAGTCGACTTATATTTTACTGATGCACAGCTTTAATCTTCTTGCTCTCAGCTTGCATTTTTCTTTGATAAGATAACATTTCGGTGAGGATTTCCCATTCACCACAAAGGCCCTTAAGTACAAACAGTCTGTGTGCATGCGGTTGGACTGCAATTACAATCAGTTTGATTTTCTCAACGGCAGACTTTTTTTTTTTTTTTTTTTACTTATTCAGTCAAAAGTGTTATCGAGGTGAAACTGCAGCTGCAGCCTCTCAGGGTGTTGGGGTATAAAAGCATGAAACTGTGATCAGATCCCAACAGAAGATCTCTTAAGACCTCCAGCTGACAGACATCACAGATTGCATCCCTGCAGCACAACTTTCATCATGAAGGTAAGGACAGGATTGTAAAGTCTGAATCTTCAGCAGTTTTGATCCTAAGAGTTTCAGTAAGCTTATCTTAAGCATTCTACAGATACATGGGGCATCCTTTCTGAAATGTAACTCTTTTAGGTTCCTTCTCTGGTTTTCAGAAAGAAATCTTGAGTAAAAACTGTGAAACTAAGATGTAATCTCTTCCTCTGCTGCAGTTGTTGTCCGCTCTTCTCCTCCTGGTCCCTCAGCTGAACAGCTGCACAGCTTATCTCTTTCCTATGGACTGCAGTGATATCTTTAAACAGAACCGTGAGCTATCCAGTGGAGTTTACTTCATCTGTCCCTGTGGACCCACGTCTTGTGTCCAGGTATTCTAAGAAAGGGCAATCAGTTCCCTAAAATCTAATTTCGCTTTTATTTGATTTATTTTAGCAACACTGTGTAGACATCTTCTCCTCATGTGAAAAAGAAGACGTTTTTTTAGCTTTGCTTGGGTTTTTATATAAAACCAGAAAACCTTGGGGAGTAAACAAGCCTGTTATGAATAGATCTTGCATCTTAACCTTGTAGTTTTAGGGACTATAATCTCAGGGTTATTATTTAATTATGGAAAAATTCTTAGAGTAAAATCTGTACAGCTTATTAATGATGATGATGCCGAAGACATAGGAAACAAAAGATTCAACCAAATTTTCAATATATTATATTAAATTGTAATTGTCAGCTTAAGGCACAATGAACAAAGACAGGATAAACAACTCTATATGTTTTGTTATATTTAATAGACACTGATAAAATATCTGGTGTTGAGGTGAACCACACATAAGCAGGTGGTGTGAAACGGGTCGAAAGTAAAGACTTCTGTCTGATGGAGGTCAGCAGAGAGCAAACAGCATCAGTTTGTCTGCAGCAAACAGGAGGGTCATCAGAGCAGCATGTCTGACCTGTTGCTTGTGTCTCTGCAGGTCTACTGTGACATGAAATCTTTTGGAGGAGGATGGACAGTGAGTGTCCGAACCTATCACTTGGAGTTTAGACTGACTGCTCTGCTATCAGAGAATGACTGTGCTACCAACAATCATTCTCTTTTAAACATCTGATTCCTGCTTTATTCACCCAGGTGTTCCAAAGAAGGATGGATGGCTCAGTGAACTTCTACAGGCCCTGGATGTATTACAAGTCGGGTTTTGGGAACGCGGCGGGAGAGTACTGGCTGGGTGAGATATGAAGCTAAAATCAACTCTCAGACAGATTACAAAGAGCTAGAAATTGAGCCTCTGAGACATTGCTTTATCTTTTTCTGATTCTAGGTCTGGAGAACCTCTTCCACTTATGTCACAGAAGGAAGTTTGAGCTGGTGGTAGTCATGGAGGATTTTGAAGGACATCAAGCTTATGCACGTTACTGCTTGTTCAGTGTTGGTCCGGAGTCTTTGGGTTACCCTCTGCATGTGTCTGGATTCTCTGATGGAGAAGCAGGTGGGTACCAGGGGGAGCAACGCAACTTTAGGATAAACAAAGAGAAATACATTTCACTGACTTTCTCAAGGTAATGTAAATACTTTAAAGTAATTTTACAGATTCTCTTTGTTACTGTGGTCATCGTGCTTGAGACCCGTAACATAATTCTAATTATTTATAAGAGCATTAAAATTAATCTTAACAAGCCTGACGCTATGCTAAGCTCTGAAACTGAACTCTGCTCCTCTGTTGCTCAGTTTCAACAAGTTTATGAAAGAGAGACAGCATAATCCAATCCAATTTTATTTGTGGAGCACTTAAAAAAACACCAGCTGACCAAAGTGCTGTGCAGAATAAATAAATAAATGATTGAAACATGAAACAGTACAGATAGAAAACAAAACAGCTAATACTAAAAATAACATTCACACAATCAAATCAATAAAGTTGGGTAAAAGATAGAAGGAATAAATGATAAAAAAGTAAAAAATAAAATAAAATAAAACAAAGCCCACTGTCTTGCGAGGTGTTAAAGCTTATGTGAAAAGGTGGGTTTTGACAAGAGATTTAAAAATAGTCAGAGAAGAGGCCTGTCCGATGTGCTGAGGAAGGTCATTCCAGAGCTTTGAAGCTGCAACAGCATAAAAGTCTGAGCTTCCACTTGAGAGAGCAAGTAGGTCTATAAGGATGTGGAAGCTCTGAGAAGTACGGTGTGTTATGCCCATTCAGGGATTTAAAAGCAAATAAAATACTTTTAAAATGAATTCCAAAATGCATGGGGTAAAATGGAGGAGATGTGCTCCTACTTGCATGTACCAGTTAAAAGGCAGGCTGCAGCATTTTGAACCATCTGTAGATGGGAGATGGAGGAGGCACTAACCCCCACATAGAGGGCATTGCAATAATCCAGCCGAGTGGTAACAAAGGTGTGGGCTACAATTTCAAACTGTTGCCTTGAAAGAATTGGCTTATTTTGGCTAGCTATCTCAAATGATAAAAACTTGATTTAACAACTTCCCTGATCTGGCTGTCCATCTACAAATCTGCATCCACTTTTACCACCTGGCCAAAGAGCCCAGAGCAAAAGTTCAGAGACATCCATGCCTTTATGTCATCAAGACACTTGATTAAGGTAGTGGTAGAGTGGGCATCTTGTTTTTTAAGGAGCGACATAAATTTGACAGTCATCTGTATAGTAATGGAGAGAGAACAAGATAGGACCCAGGACTGAGCCCTGGGGAACCCCACATGAGAGAGGAGCAGAGGAGGAAATGGAGTTACCAAGGCTGACACAGAATAAGGACAGAATTATCCGACTAAATTAATTAATTCTTGTTTAAAATTAACCCCTGAAGTTTAGCTGCACTTAAAATGCACTTAAAATTGTAGTTTAGTTTTAATTCTGGAGATATTTTTACCCTGTGATTTAATTAATTATGTTTCTGTTCTGAAATCTTTTTGCAGGAGACTCCCTGAGTTATAACAGCGGACAGAAATTCTCCACCTTCGACAACCGCCAGGACTGTAATGACGTCAGCTGTCCCAGATTATTCCTGGGGGCTTGGTGGTATAAAAAGTGTCATAAGTCAAACCCAAATGGGGTGTATCGTTGGGGATTTGATGATACACTCCACGGAGTTGGAGTGGAGTGGTCCACATTTAAAGGCGATAACTACTCCCTGAAGTATATTGCTTTTATGATCCGTCCTGTTCATCATTGAGAGCCTTAGATATTAATGTTTCAAGTGATCAAACTGAATATGTAACCTCCTGGAATTAAATTAATTTGATTATAGGGAGTTTTTTTCAGTTTTCTTACTGATATTGTTTGTTTGTTTTTTCTGATCTACTATGTTCTGACAATAAATGAGAAACAAAACAATGTTCTTCTTTCGTGTCTGGATATCCTTCAAACAAAAATCTGAAATTGTTTTTTCAAACAGAGGTTATCACGTCTTGTAAAATCATATTTGTATTTACAGATGAGAGTTAAAGAAAAAAGCACAGAATCTTTAAACTAAAGACCTTCAAGAGATACCAAGAGGCCAGGATTATCTTTAATTGTATTTTGAGATAAACAAAAAAAAAAATATTCAATGCTTTCCCCTTAAAACATTCATTTTCACCGTTTATTTATTTTAGGATTATCTTCCTCCAACTGACTGACTTGTAATATGATCACTGAAAAACTGTACAAATCTTAGTAATCAATTAAAAGTATAGTTAACGCTTTACAGCTTACTGTTAGAAAAAAACGAAAACAAAAATGGAAATACTATTATCATGAAATTTTCATTGTTTTTTTTATAATACATCTAGACCCAGATGTGTTTAGCTGAGTTGATGTAAACCCATTTATAATATGGAAGGAAATTTGCTGTATGTATCATGGTTCATGTTAAAAAGGCTTTTATCACAAAATACTATCAGTTCTTGTTTGCTATTGTCAGCAATAAAAGGAAATCATTATATGAAATGTTTCCACTTTGAGCGGTCAGCCTGATTGCAAATCGCAAATAGTTATTAGACTCAGTCTGCAAGATCGCTGCAGTCAGCTGCCATCAAGCTTCTATGAACCAAACAAAGAAATTAGGCTTCTGCACAGACGTCCTGCCTGACCTGCCTGGGCTTGAACTCGCCTCCTGTCGTCATCTGTAAAAACTGTACTGGTGATTAATCCTAAACTCACTGTCACGTTGTCACAAAAGGATTGCATAAGCATTGAATAATGCAAACCTCTTTTCTGTTAATTTTCTTGTCTGACTACATTTTGAATGCTTACATATGTGTTTTAAAAGTTCCAATGAGTGTGATAGTTTAACTAATTTTCAGACTGCTTGCTACCCTTTTTCTTTATGCCTTGTTATTGCCAATGCAAAAAGGACTCCAGCTTGCCAAGCATTCCAAAGACCCCTCCATCTGTCCATTCCTTAGATTATGCAAGCTGATCCTCTGTATTGTTTCGCAGCTTTACTCCATCATCTCTTCTTGGCAGTTTGCTGTCCGTTTCTCTGCCTTTATATGGCTGTATCAGAGCATTTGTGACACTGAGTCTTTGTTAGGAGGCTTAAAAATCTTCCAGAGCAATATCAGCATTTTTGCAAGGAATAGGAAGTGGGGGTGGATTCAAGCTGGGAAAAAGATGTGTGGGAAAAAATAGAACAATAACTTGTTGCTAAAACCTTTCATTTTTAGATTCCCTCTGTATTCAGAAAATTTCATTTCGTTTTTCATTACTTTCCACTCCATATTGTTTCTTCACAGTAGCTATGGTTTGCATTCACTGGAGATTTGAAGTATGTTGGAAGCCTATTTTGTTTAGCACAGCATGTTGTGAAGTCTTTATTTCCAGAAGTTGATTATGGGAGGATCTATGAGGAAAGCTAGCCTTTGGTTTGAATCGGTTTCTGGACCCTTCCAGGGCAGCTGCATCACATTATCTGTAACAATTTTAGGGATGAAGGTGATAATAAGTTTGTGACAGCCACATCACCTTTTTCAAAAAGTTGTTTATCATTTATGTGTCCAAAGAAATTGAGAAGATAACCGTTACTCTGCATTACACCTCTGTATTTTAAAAGATTACTTATCTTCCTGCAGAAACGGTCAAATAAACTACAATTGCAATGATTTATTTGTCTTATTGAGAACTGTTTGGTCTCTAGACACAATATAATCATTCCACGAAAACTTTCAAATGTTAAACAGAAAAATATCCTACAGATTTTTTTTTTCTGTGTAATAGATTTTATTAGTGCAGATTTTGTTTTCAAAAGAATATTTTCTGTTTTACATTGATATAAATTAAAATCCTTTCGATAAGCTTAAGTTTATCTTTTTCCTTGAGTTGATATTTAGATTTTAATCAGTCTAGACATAAATATCAAAAAGCTGAATAATGCTCTCTATGCAATGTTTTTAAAACACAGATTTTATTCCCCTGCTTATACTTTTTCCCTTCTTGTTAGACTATAATTCCGGCACTGAACAAATTATTCTGCTTTAAAAAGATCATATCTGGTTTTTTTCAACCTTATTTTGACATGATGAATATCAAAATCCTACAGGTTAAATAACATTCATTCTGGAAGGTATTTAAACTACTTTAGCTCCACCACCTTCAACAGTGACTTGCTCAATTTTTCCTTCATTTTTACAATTGGAAACACTGGAGTGTGGGTGTATTTATTTAACAAGGATTAGAGCAGGTTGACTCACCATATTACGTCACTAGGTTTTAGGTTGACATATTTTATTTTTTTAATCTAATCACATCCATATATGGCAATATGTTTTCCAAAGCTTCATATGGGTAAAAGTTTCCTTTGATCTTCATTCTGACCTGAAAATATCTCTAAAGTAAATTCCTTGTTTGAATCATTCGAGTTTTTTTCTGCCTCAATGTTTTGCATCTCCTCTGCGATCCTGTTTGTGCTTTTCACTCTAAAAACTAGAATATGTATCCTGATGATTCTTGTTTTTGAACTAGTAAAAGGTACATTTCAAAAAGTCAACTTCTAAGGAGGTATTGCTGATATTTGTTAAGCCAACTTTTTTGTATTAATTAATAAATTACAGTTTTCTTGAGACACACAGTTTATTTAACCTTTTCTGAATTGACAGCTATACCGTTTTTTGTTTGTTTGTTGCAGCTGATAGCATCAGAAGAAACTGTTGGATTTCAGCTTTTACTGGACGTTCATGTCCTTAAAAGCTAAATCTGATCAGTAGCTGGTTTAAATCCTCCGAGAAAACAGGAGCACCAACATACTGCTGGATGCGTCCCACAGTGGCTGCTGGTGGATCACATTCTGTTGCATGACAAACAAACATGTCCACACAATATAATACCAGATCAACAGGCTTAACACCAGATTTCTACTACAGACCCAAATTAATTCCTGACCTGCTGTTTAGTGCATCTAGTTCTTTTCTAATCCACTTTAACTCTTTTATAAAATTCAAAAGCCCAATAAAGTCTCAAACCAAACAATACAATTTATTTCTTAAAGCACATGAGAAAGAAAGACGGAAACCATGTAAAATAAATACAAAGTGCAGGTTTTTGCACTGATCTCTGCATATTTTCTGAAAAACAGGTAGCATAGATGAAGGACTAGGTTTATTCCATTACATCGCCATATTTTGTCTTCTCAGCTGCTTTAGATTCCTCTGGATGAGAAACTGTAGGACAAAAGAAAAGTCCACATTAAGGACACATCTCAGTAGGCTTTATCTATTAGAACATATGAACATAACTTCCGTAAAAATACAGTTTCATCTAAATTTAGACAATATAAACAGCGATCAACAACTGCCACAAGCACAAAACACATTATTCGTACTGGTTGGTCTCGGAGGTGATCTGTCCGGGACTTTCCCTGTCTCAAGAAGCAGCCACAGGTCTGAGCATTTCTGTGTTTCCCAGCGAGTCACTGCATAACTACAAAACGAGGACGCCACTGAAATAAAACAGAAACAGGGTTTAAAATAAGATTTAAAAGAGTCAAGATGTTTGTTATCCACCTGGAATTAGAAAATCTAATTCTCATAGTGGTCACCTATTGAAATAAGCAGATTCCACTGAAGGGGATAAGGGAGCTTCTTCTGTAGAGCCTTCTGGACGGCAAAGAAACCTGCAGCACCTGCAACAGCATTTAGAGAAGTCGGACAAGCAAGAAGGGAATAATAAGTAAAATATTGAAAACTCAAAGGGTTATTCAATTTTGAATGTATATTTCTTGTTGCTTTTCTAATTCTTTCAAAAATTGACAAGTCTTACTTTTAGAACTGTAGAAAGGACAAAATATAAGAAGGAATTCTACCAGTAAAACAGGCAGTTTCCCAAAATAAATATATAAAATCTGTACATTTGATATGCGCTAGGGCTGCAACTAACAATTATTTTGTTAATCAATTAATCTGTCGATTATTTTTTTGATGAATCAATAATCGGATAGCAAAAGGTTCCTTTTGAAAAGAAGGCTTTTTGTGAAATTAAACCAAGATAAAATGAATCTTATCCACTTGAGGATTGCTGGATAGAGCATACTGACAGATGAGAAAGATTTAATCTTAAATGCAAAATGTTTACATTTACAAAAATGTTATTTAAAAAAAATCCACTGACTTTGTTTCCAAGTTTGAAGATGTTTAGCTTTCCACCCATGAACCTATTTCAATTCAAAATATCAGGAGTTCGAGGCTTTATAGAGTGGACGAAAAACAAAGTCTTGTTTTGGCTTAGAAACCATGCAAATTGAACAGGAACAATTTCTCCAAAAGGAGGGGGTCATTAGAGACCTGTCTATGTTAGATACCCGTCTATGCCAGAGACGTTGACAGGTGGCAGGTATTGTGGGCTAACAAAGATCCCGAACGACCCCTGTTCCTAAAGGGTGGACCCATCCATCTGGTTCAATTTGCATGTTTTCTAAGCCAAAACAAGGATTTATTTTTGGTCCACTCTATAAGGCCTCAAACTCAACACTATTTCTGACATTTGATTTGAAAAAGCTTCCTGGATGGGAAGCAAACTCTTTAAACTTGGAAACAAAGTCCAGTGGATTGTCTTGTAACTTTTTTTGGACTGACTATAACCTGGATGACTGAGAATCTCTACCAGCAAAATTTTTACACATTTTATTTTTTTTTTTTACAATTTGGTATAATTGCTGCTCAAGGAGGGTTTCTCTGTCAGCTAAAGTGTCTGCACATTTAAGAGCCTCTACACTCCAGTTAACGATTAACGAATTACTAAATTAGTGGACAATTATTTAAAATCGATTAATCATTATTAATTCTTTCAGCTCTAATGTGTACATTATAACTTCGGCTTAAAACGCAAATCCAAATGTTTCACCTCTAAATTTAAATCGGCCTGGTTTAACATCTGAGAGCAGCAAAAGGCACATCCTTTAAGGAGACTGAATGGATGGAACAGTCAAATCCTTTAACCAGCTAACCGATCAAGATGACATCCCCTCCAGACATTTATTTAGGTATTTGCAGGTACGTATTTTCATATCTTCAAAAGCAAGGTTATGTCCTGGTGGGTTCTCTCACTCTTCTATAGAAGAAGTGCTACAAGACCCTGAGCCCCGAAAACTAATAACCAGGTTATATGGTGCTCTGTTCCCCCCAGCTGAGGGCACCAGTCATCTTAAATTGCACCTGGGAGGCTGATTTGGGGACATCAATCCCAGATGGTAGGTGGGGTGATGTATGGCTTAGCTCTCCCGGCTGCTTGTCCACCAACAAAATTAATGAACAACAATTTAAAATCACCCATAGGCTGCAGATTACACCAATATTAAGGAACAAATTTAACCCCACACTTTCAAAATACTGTAATAAATGCAAGATTTCAGCGGGAACATACTACCATTGCATCTTTGACTGCGCCCTCATTAAAAAATTCTGGATAAAGGTCTGTAAAGAAATATCTGACATATTTGGTAAGGATCTGAACCTAACCCCACTGTCTTGTATCCTTGGTTTACATCCTGCATTGAACTTATATTCTTATATGCTGAGACTGCTAGACGGTGTGTTCTTCTTCAATGGATCTCTGACAAACCTCTTATGCTTTGACAACTAATTCCCTTGGAGGCAATGACCCACTGGCTTAAGGACAAACCTCTGTTATTTCACAAAACATGGGATCCATTCTTAGATTACATTGGCATAGAGAGTGCACGGAGTATACAGAAAGGACTCTATGGACTTATCTGGTCTGAGATTCCTGGAGAACACCATACTTGAGTGTGTATTTAACCAATTATTATAGTGACACTGTAATGCCTGAATATCTGCTTATGTATCCTTTTAATTGATTAACTAATCTGAGCTTTAATGTTGTTACATGTTTTTGTGTTATTTTGTTTTGTTTTTTTCTTTCTGTACTATCTGTACTCTATAATATTATTTTTTAATATATTGTTACAGATTTTCCTGATTTAGTTTTATTTATGGACTTACTTATCTTTATTTATTTTTTATCTTTCCTGTCTTTCACTGTTTGGGGATTTTGTTGCCTGTATAAGTTGAAAAACGTAATAAAGATCTGTTAAAAAGAAAAAGAAAAAAGGAGACTGAATTAAGTCCCAGAGTTAGTAAATTATTAATTCAGAGATTAAAGCTCCATCATTTGGTTTAAAATGCTTCTTAATGAAATTTCACTAACAATGTTGCATTCATGTGAAAACAAAGATACTGCATTTGGCATCTGTAACACCATTACCATGTAATTATATAGGATTCAAAGTCAAAGAACAAGAAAGGTCAAAAGAAAGGACAGGGCTCTATAGCATAAAACACGAAAATGTTAATTAAAACCACTTGCAATCTAAATAAGGCATTTCTGAGGTGATAAAAGCATTACCCAACACAAAGCTCCCAGTTCCCTTCATAAAGGCGTGAGACTGACAGGCAGCATAGCTCTGCAACCCCTGAAAGACAAACACAACCATATCAAAGAACCAGCTTCTACCTCCTAAAAAAAAAGAAAACCCTCTTTATTGCTCTAGTATTTGACGTTTAAACAAGTCTAAAATCAATTAATGTTAATTACACAGCTAAATGTCCTCCAGAGATTCTGGGTCTTTAGGCAAAAAGAAAAGTAGAAGCAGTAATTCTTACTGGGTGTTTTGCTGCTATTGCGTCGTCCACTTTAGTCAGCCCAAGGTTCACCATGGTGGCAAGTAGGTTCAATTTAAACGCTTAAATTTAGAGTATAAATTGAAATTTAAATTATATCAAACAGTACACATACTTCTCCTATGTGTACTGTTATAAAACTTCCGCGTTCTTCTTCTTCTTCTTGTTTATTTTTTTTTATAGCGGTTGGTAAAACCGTTAGGTAAGCATTACCGCCACCAACTGGTCAGGAGTGTAGACCACATGGCAAAAGAAAACTATCCTGTTATACAATTTAATCTGTTTCAAACACCCAAATATAACCTTATATACACGGTTTCCTGTTGCAGTAAATCAACAATGTCAAGTTTCTTAATTAACTTGTTTCTCTGAATCAAATATTTCCTACAACTCAAAATAGCATGTTCCACTGTCTCTTCCCCACAGTCACATTCTCCTGTCTGACGTTTCCCTATTAAAAATAATGACTTATTCAATCCTGTGTGTCCTATTCTAAGTCGAACTTCATTAATAAATAGAAAATCTATTTTTAAAACTGACTGGTATGAAAAAGGTATGGTATTTGTAATTGCCTTGGACAGTCGCAGTGTTTTCCTAAATCATAGAGTTTATTAATAAATTTAATCTGTGCTGTACTTTTAATTAATACTTAAAAGTATGCAAAGCTATTCCTGAAGCTCTGTTCCATCTCATCCAAAACACCTTAAGACATTCAAATGTTACTCCATCTTTACCCAAATTGAAAATTGGAGAATATTTTGTGACTGATAAAAGATGTAATAATGGTATACTTGTGACTGCCTTCAAATCCCAATTATTTAATGATTATTATGATAGTTTTTTGACAACAACTAATGTGCCCTTAATTGAGAAGGCATTCGCTAAATTTGTTAAATGACCGGTTTCACCAATGGTTAAAGAGACTCAGATTAAAATCTCGCACAAAATTTACCCAGTGGCAGAATTTTTGCATAAAAGATTTAAATTGGATTTAACATGCTGTGCTTTTTGTGAACGTCCGGATTGAATCCCTTAATCATCTTCTTTTTTTTTTTTTCCTGTCCCTTTTCTTTTAAACCATGGAGAGACATAAAAAATGGGTTGTCCCTTATAATTGAGGACATCCAAGAAACAACAATCACCCACGTGTTGTATTATGTTGATTACCTTGATAGTAAGATTTCAGATACGGTTAATATTGTTTTGCTTCTCAATTATATACATTGCTGTAAATGGAGAGGTTCTACTCCTTGTTTTGATTTTTTTTTCTTAATCAATTTAAATTGCATTACTCCTCATTGAAAAATTTTAAATCTGTTTCTGCCAAAAAAAAGTAACTCTCAGTATTTATACTTTTCTTTAGTTTTAAATCTTGCTCTATGTTTATTCATTGGCCTTATTGTTTATGTATCTGTTCTTGTTTTTAGCCCCATATTTATGTCATTTTTTTTCTACCAACGTTGAAATGTCTGTACTTCAACGAGACTTTGTACACTATTGGTTTGTTTTATATATATATATATATATATATATATATATATATA